TCCTTCTACACCCATTTTCAAAGTAATGTTAAAAACCCATCTGTTCAAAAACATACCATGAATTTTTTTTCTCTAAACATGTCAAATAAATAAATGATGTTGTACTTCTATTTGTTATGAAATAAGTCATCTTTAGCAGAATTTAAGTTAGATTTAAGTTAGATTTAAGTTAGATTAAGCTGATTTATTCATTTATTTGTATAAACAAACTGTAATTTTGATTTTGTAATGTAACATAGCATACTGTATAATTGTGTACTGAATAATATTGTGTACTTGTGGTGCTGTCGTCCCGACTTTATTTCGTGTAAGGATATTGCTTCACTTAATGGCTGCTGGGATGACAACAGCACCACTGCGCCTAGAAACAATGTATTAGGCGCGTTATAAATGTGATCTATTATTATTATTATTACTAATCGAAATCTGAAAGTTGCCCCTTTTACTTCGATAAGTGCCTTTTCTCTTGTAATAAATGTAATTTTTAGGTAGGAGAGGTGCCCCTTTTCATCTCGTATAAATGCTCCTTTGACTTTGTACCCCTTTCTACTTTCTAGTAAATGCCCATTTGAATATTATAAGTTCCCCTTGTCACTTTTGATAAGTGTCCCTTCTCCTTACTCTTTAAAAGCCCTTTGATATAGGTGCCCATTTTTATACCTATATTTCCCATTTCTCCCACCACGATGAAACTAGCGAGGGAGGGGCAGGGGCAGGGGCACAACCCTCAATTTTATAAGAACAACCTTTTTTTAATATAACCGTGATCGTGCTCAATTTCACCACTAGATAAGTAATTTATAAAATAAGTGTGCCCCCTTACACTAAACGTATCGTGACATATTCTACTCAACCACAGAGCCATTATTCTTCCGACCCTCTCATCTTTCAAACCGTCAGAGAGCCTTTTTGAACATCGTAGAATAACAAGCTAATCAATAACCTTTATTCAAGAATATAAAGGTTCAAACAATGAAGTAGTTTTCAAACTATAAAGGCAATTGCATTTGCATTTGCCAAACGTTAATCATGCATGAAAAGAGTCATGAATATCTTTTATGCATGCTATGACACAGGCGCGGATCCAGGATTTCTTAGGGGGGGGGGCCCAAATTTGAAATTATGCGAGCCAAATATTGGTACGTAATGGCGACCAACAGTGACGTCATGCGGGGGCGGGGGGGGGGGGTCGGTGAAGGGGGGGGGCGAGTTACCCCCTCCCAGGCTTTGAAGTTTCATTATATTATTAGAGAAAGAAGACGATTCGTTGTACCGTTCTCGAAAATAATTCTCGTCTGAATTTAGTTTCTTTCCCTCCCGCGCGAAGCGCGGAAAATTTTACGATTTGTTAAATTATTAGAGAAAGAAGACGATTCGTTGTAGAGTTCTCGACTCTTAATCGTTGTCTAAATTCAGTCCCCCCCCCTCCCCCTCCTGCGCGAAGCGCGGAAGCTTTGACGTTTAATTAAACTTTTAAAGAAAGAAGACGATTCGTTGTACCGTTCTCGACCCTTTATCCTCGTCTGATTTTAGTTTCCCCCCTCCCGCGCGAAGGGCGGAAGCTTTTACGTTTCATTAAATCATTAGAAAAAGAAAACAATTCGTTGTACAGTTCTCGACTCTTAATCCTTGTCTAAATTCAGTCCCCCTCCCCCTCCTGCGCGAAGCGCGGAAGCTTTGACGTTTTATTCAACTATTAAAGAAAGAAGACGATTCGTTGTACCGTTCTCGACCCTTTGTCCTCGTCTGATTTCAGTTCCCCCCCCCCCTTTCCGCGCGAAGCGCGGAAGCTTTTAAGATTCATTAAATCATTAGAGAAAGAAAACGATTCGTTGTACAGTTCTCTACTCTTAATCCTTGTCTAAATTCAGACCCCCTCCCCCTCCCCCTCCTGCGCGAAGCGCGGAAGCTTTGACGTTTTATTCAACTATTAAAGAAAGAAGACGATTCGTTGTACCGTTCTCGACCCTTTGTCCTCGTCTGATTTCAGTTCCCCCCCCCCCTTTCCGCGCGAAGCGCGGAAGCTTTTAAGATTCATTAAATCATTAGAGAAAGAAAACGATTCGTTGTACAGTTTTCGACTCTTAATCCTTGTCTAAATTTAGCCCCCCTCCCCCTCCTGCGCGAAGCGCGGAAGCTTTGGCGTTTTATTTAACTATTAAAGAAAGAAAACGATTCGTTGTACCGTTCTCGACCCTTTATCCTCGTCTGATTTCAGTTCCCCCCTTCCCGCGCGAAGCGCGGAAGCTTTTACGTTCCAATAAATCATTAGAGAAAGAAAACTATTCGTTGTACAGTTTTCGACTCTTAATCCTTGTCTAAAATCAGTCCCCCCCTTCCCCTCCTGCGCCTAGCGCGGAAGCTTCTACGTTGCATTAAATCATTAGAGAAAGAAGACAATTCGTTGTACCGTTCTCGACTCTTAATCCTCGTCTGAATTCAGTCCCCCCCCCTCCCGCGCGAAGTGCAGAGGCTCTTACGTTTCAATAAATCATTAGAGGAAGAAAACGATTCGTTGTACAGTTCTCGACTCTTAATCCTTGTCTAAAATTAGTCCCCGTCCCCCTCCCCCTTCTGCGCGAAGCGCGGAAGCTTCTACGTTTTATTAAATCATTAGAGAAAAATGACGATTCGTTGTACAGTTATTGACTCTTAATCCTCGTCTGAATTCAGGTTCCCCCCCCCCCTCTCGCGCAAAGCGCGGAAGCTTTTAATCTTCATTTAATCGTTAGAGAAGAAGACGATTCATTGTACCGTTCTCGAAAATAAACCTCATCGGAATTTAGTTTCCCCTCCATCCCGCGCGAAGCGCAGAAGCTATTACGTTTCATTAAATCATTAAAGATTCGTATTACCGTTCTCGCCTCTGAATCTTCGTCTGAATTCAGTCCCCCCCCCCCCCCCTCCCCTCCTGCGCGAGGCTTTGACGTTTTATTATTAGAGAAAGAAAACGATGCGTTGTACCGTTCTCTATACTCTTAATCCTTGTCTGAATTTCAAAGATGTTCTTTGTCTGCTCCTTTTTCTTCCTACGTCCTCTTCCGATTGGAGGGGGGACCGCCCCCCCCCCCCTGGCTACGCGCCTGTGGTTAGATAAACACATCTTGATACCTTGTCCGACCCCGCAAGCTCAGGGGTTTAAGGCAATAAATTACGATCAGATAAGCATTCAGGGGCCCGCCTTAGGGCCCCTGGTGGGGTCGAGGCGGCGGAGCCGGCCCCGGAAGCTCAGGGGTTTTAGGCGTTTAATAAAGGTCAGATGAGCATATTTTGATGCCTCATTATTTTGTTAACACTGGCAGTTAACTATTCTCACTTTCTTGCTCTCATTCTATTTTATTTCTCTTTAATATACTTTGTCAAGAAAAAGTGGGGGAGGGGGGGGGGGGGGGAGCTCGAGGTTCTCGATCCCCGCCGTACCTCGGGCCCTGACATGTACGAATCTCAAGAATCATATTTTTTGCCTGGTTGTAAATTTAGGAATTTGTCATTTTTCAACAAACACATACAAACGTATAATTTACTAAAAAGTGAGGAAAAATTTCGGAAATTATGTCATTTCAGCATTATTAATCCACCGTTGTGGAATTAGAAATAAACCACGTTTGAATTTGATTTCCCCCAAGCCCCCCCCCCCTCTATCAGTACGCCAGTATCTCCTCTTTTCCTTTTTTCTTTCCCTTTCCTTCCTTCTCTCTTATTTTTTTTGATGGGGAGGCGGGGGAGGGGGGAACAGCCTGGGAGGCAAGGCCCTTTCGCCCCCTGATCTCCTTCTTCCCCCTTTTCTTTTCTTCTTCCTCTTCTTTCTTTCCCTTTTTCTCCTTTTTCCCTTTCCCTTCTTTTCCTTTCTTCTTTTTTTTTTTTTTTTTTTTTTTTTGCGGGGGGGGGGGGGCCAAGGCCCGCTCGGCCCCCCCCCCTGGATCCGCGCCTGCTATGACAAGATGTATTTAGTCACCCCTCATCTCCCCCGAAACAATAGATTTCACTTGGTCTACTTAACATGAACCCCTAGCTAGTCTGGAGCACATGAGAGCAATTTCCCCTTGAATTTCACCCAAAGTCGCTCGCTACGCTTGCTTGCATTTATAGTATCTTCTCAACTAACACATAGCAAGTCTTATCAATTCTTTCATTATGAGATTATGCTTAAAACCCCATCAAGATTGATGATTTCATTTAGATAATAAGATCTATAATAGGTCGAAGTGCAAGCTCAGAAATGTGTGCTCGCTTACATCTGGATCTTCAGACAATCACACGCAACTGTAAAGCATTGTGCTGCAGCAGTATCTTGGACCACATAAAGAGAAGATGGGGAAATTCATTTATGAGAACATCATTTCTAATGTAGGGTATATTTCTTGAAAGTACCGAATAAATAATACAAATACAAATACAAATAATGTCCAAATGTCAATCTCCAGTTTAAAAAGTTACTCTCTGTAGGTGCCCGTTTCAGTCAAGAAAGTCCCCATATTTGTTGATGCACCCCTACTTTGAAAGGTGCTCTGCATCTGTGTTTCATAACATTTTTAATCACTTGTCTGATAGTCCTTTAAACAAAAAATGTTTTTCTATTCTTTATGAAGCAAAGATGAAAGTAGCTTATGTAAATTATAAACAGCTGCAATACTTGTCAGTAAATTTACATCGGTAAATTTGTTCCAGTAATAAAGCCTTCCCCCCCTTCTCTCTCTCTCTATCTCTCTCTCTCTCTCTCTCTCTCTCTCCCTCCCCCTCTCTCTCTCTCTCTCTCTCTCTCCCTCCCCCTCCCCCCTCTCTCTCTCTCTCTCATTCATCCAATTAATCAATCTCTCTTTTCTTGGTATCACTTCTCCATTCTTGTACAAAAATTAGGTCAATATATAACATTGCCCATCTGGCTTAAATTAATAATTACATTTCTAACTTTAACACACTTTCTTTACAACCTCCATGGAAAATCCTCTTAGTTTATGGGGTTCTAGATGATGTGAAAAATCAATAGAGAACATAAGTAGTTACATTTTCAAAATACATTTATTCATCATTCTTTTTAGAATATCTCTGTACATGTATAGCATACATCAACATAAAAATATACATGGCACTCAATTAGATACAAATATGTGTATAAATTATCATTTTCTTTTGATATTTAGTAATGGAATATCATAAATACTATTTACACTTTCGGTACAGAAATATAACTTTATGGTAATAGTGCATGGAGGGATATACAGTGGAATTTCTTGCATATATTAAAGGTGTTGCATCTATATGGACAGTGTATAAATGTAACCATCTACGATGACAACTATCATTACAAATATATTTATTCATCTATAGAAATATCACTGTAGTAGGTGAGGAAGACACTTCCACACTAGCAAGGTTTCAATACAACACTAAATTATGACAGTTGTCAGTTTTTATCATAAATCCTTTAATAATATAATATATGATTTTTCTTTTTTTATATGAATTTGGTTATCAATATGATGAAAAAATGAAGATGAAATTGATCTGTTTCAAAGAGCACAATTATATCAGAAATTTAAAAAAGGGCAAAGACTTTGATCAAATTGGTATTTTTCTATGAATGTTCTTGCTAATGATTGCTCATTCATTGAGAGCCATGAATATTCACTAAACCCTTATAACACTTTCGGCAGTTTTGGCCATCTAAATTCTTAGCTATTTATTCTTTACATAGAAAAGCTTGTTCTCTTGGGGGGGGGGGGGGGGGGGGCTCGTGAATAGTTTACATGATGAAACACTGTTTTAACCGTTACAAATCATAAAAACATGAAGCAACTAAAAACATTTTGTGTGCCTTTACAAGGCTCATCGGCCCACGGTTTTGCACACATCACTGCAAAATTTATGGTACATTATTTTAGTTGCAGGACTAGATCTCCTTTAAGAAGCCTTCAACCTTGATTACAATCTTGTTTAATCCATTTGAGAGGGAATGATGTAGTCAATTACTATACTGAATACAATATTGCTGTATGCTTTACATTGGAAATGAAATATTAGTCTGATATTCTTCTTCTCTCTTTAACATTACTAAATCCTCTTAGTTTACCACAAACCAGTTGGCAAATTAAACAGGCAAACAAAAGAATTATATTGTACCATTACAAAAAGAATTGCGATTGATGCAAATCAATTGCATATATGTATATAGACAGGCTCCAGATAATAGTACACTGACCAATACCAAATACCATACCGGTACACCCATTTCATTTTCATTCTTTTATTTTGATGCCCAAGTAAATCATGTTGAGATATTTATATGTTGCTTTTGTTCGTTTATTTGAGAATTACATTAATTGTATTTCTCAAGTGGAGGGATGGTACTTGTTAGTATGACTAAAATGATATTGATCTGAAAGTCTCATGATGATGGTAATAATCAATGATTCACATCAATTCTTCTGCAATCATCACTTAAAATTTGATGTCATAAAACTTTCCATCTTAAAGTACTAACTAGACATCAGCTTCAAATCGTCAAGGTTATAATACATCTGGGTTTGTTCAAAACTCCATAAATAGGTAGAGCTGCAGAAAGCAAAACTCCCAGACCATTTGTCCTTATATAGCTCCTTCATCTATAGTTTTCAGACTGAACAACAGATTGACCAGGTACAAAGTACTTCTGTGATGTCTTGAGAGTGAGTAAGATAGGTTGATGAAGCTCATCATACACATCAATAGGTGATGGGAAGGGGTTCAATACATAGGTCTTCAAAGGGAAGTCAATCTTAGACGTGAAGGTGTAGAGACCATCCGCCTCCATCTTCTTACGTAGCTGATGAGGCAGGGGTGGTAGACGTAATTCTGTGTGATAAGCAGAAAGAGATGGGTTAAATTTAAGAGATCAACAAAACAAACTTACATGATTGCAATATTACCTGCAGCTAGAGATCCACAAGGGCAATGTTACATAATTAGTCCTTCTATTTTTCCATAGACATTACATCCTTTACACAACTGCATGGATATCATAACCACAGCATGTTCACAAGCATAAACTTTTATATCTTCAAAAACATTTCTGAAGATTTGAGTGGGATACTAAAGCTCTGTGGGATACTTGTCCTCAGCCATAGCATATTGAGAGAGATAGTTGAGACACACATCACACATACACGACCAAAGGTCAATGCATATAGCTCCTGATAGTGTCTGCCTACATACAATCTGTATGCAAGGCAACTATTTGGAGCGCCATGTATTGACCTCTGATCATGTACCTGTGCGTGTGTCACAATTATCTCTCTCAATAGTCAATACACTATGTCCTGAACTAATTTAAGAAAAAAATCAAGTTATATCCTTATCTTTATAATGGAGGGGGATTTGCTAGTTTGAGAATACAAGTACTATTTTTGACAGTAGTTATTGTTATGATATGATCAGTAATCTCGGCCAAACAAGCTTTATGTCCTGTCTTTGCCTCTTGGATGTCGATGACAACTACAAATTGTTACTGTACATGTAATTATATTGATTATGATTTCACTGTAAAATGACCACATAAAGTTGGATTTAGCAACCAACAGCAATCATCTAGGTTGTCCAGCTTCCAACACATATAAAACAACAAACAAGAGCCCTGTTTATCCCAAAAAGAGTTGGCATAAAACACTTCTCTCTAAAGTGGAATAACACCCCAGTAATATGTTAAAAAGATGTAACAAGAATTGTGAGATTCTGAGAAGGATCAAGTAATTTGAGTTATATGTGCGTGACTTCTTAACAATAGTCAAGGGAAACATGAGACCAATCTTAGAGTAGTGAACCCCGGCCATCTTCATCTGAGCTCTCACTTAACGACTTCATTCTCTAGAGCTCATCCAAACAAGAACATGCTGACCAAATTTTTACACAATGTTCATAGAAAGATGTGACATTTTAAATCTTCAGGAGAGTCAGACTTTGTACATATGATGGACAAGAGTGAGTTTGTAAAGAAGTGAAAGACACAACCGAAACCCATATAAAAAAATAAATAAAAAAAATGTATTCACTCATTAAGAATGTAAAACAAACAGATTCAATAAAACCCCATTACCACGTCACAATGACTTACTAAATAATGAATGATCATGTCTTTCTGTAATTTCAAACAAATAAAATACTTGCACCATAATCATTTCTTTGTTAATGAGCATGCACTATGAATTACAGTTTAAAATTAACTTATTGCTGGTTCAAACTAACATTTCATATATCATGAAAAATAACTGTGATTTTAGTATTTTTGATGATGCAATCAATGTGATGAATGAATTTCTGCACTATTTGGCGATTAAAATATTGTTTTGATAAAGACTATTACTCAAGTTTTTAAATAGGTGATCATCTGTACACTTCGTCTGACCAAGTCTGTTCCTGTTATATGTTAGGCAATTAGCACACAACACAAAAAAACATGCACCATTTGGTCTAATTGAAAAAAACCAATCGGCCAAACTATGTGTAGAACTGGGGGGGGGGGGGGGTGTACCAACATATTAAGACATGCGGGATGGACCGCTCTAATGTGTCGCTTTTTCACACAAAACATCACCAAAATGGGCCTTTATTTCAAGAAAATCCCCCCAAATTGTACCTTTGTCCGACCAAAATGACCCTAATTGAGTAAAAATGGGTGAGGTTTCAAGGCTTGAATGGCACACCCCGTCCAAACCAAATCTGAGTACCCCCCCCCCCCCCCCCCCTGACTCTGAACCATTCTTCCCAATATTTGCCTAATATTATAGTATTAATGACTGCTTTGAGAGAAATAGTTGTTTTTATACGCTCAAGGGAAGGTTAGAATTGTGCTATTGCCCGAGGCGTGCCGAGGGCAATAGCCCAATTGTAACCTTCCTGAGAGCGTATAAAAACAACTATTTCTCGAATATTAAAGCAGTCATTAATACTTTTATATGCCGAGAACAAAAGAGTCAACTAATGACACCACCTTGGCCTTTCTCTAGTTTATCTGCACGGTTGTTTTTTATGAGTGTATCTTTGAGAGTAGACTAGATCTAGATTCTAGTCTAAGCAAGATATTTTTACAATTTTGGGGGTGGGCCGGCCCTGTGGGATGACACCTCACTTATTGAATATCACCTTCAGGATCACAACAGATAAAGGTTTGAATCTCGAATTGAAAAAAAAACTTGACTTTTTTTTTGCATGGTCGCGCAATGCACGTAGACTGCATAGAGACTGCATTGCGCGCAATCTCTATGGGAAGAATTTCAGCACACAACATCGGGTGCGCGATCAGACACCCTGACTACTAGACCCTAGATCTATTTCCGTCTACGTCTATGCCGGTACTCCATTTTCAGCAACTTAACAAACATGTTTATGGATAATTTCATGTACCCTTTTTGTTGTTCTTGCTGTCAGCGAGTCTTGCATTAGATAAGTTGAAATCTTGGGAGAGTTTCTTTAGACATTTTTGTCTTGTTTGGAATTGTCTTGTCTTGTATGAAAATACCGACCAATTCTTCGCACACGTACGGTATCCGCAATCGCTCAAACCATTTTTTAACATGTAAACCTATGGGTATTTTACCAAGACTGAACTATTTTCCCAGTAACCATGGTTACTGGGATTTTAGAACTATTTTTTGAACTATTACATGGGTTTGGAATTTTACCGGGAATTTTACAGGAATAGTTAAAGTTTATGAATGCAATTTCGACCAATCAGATGGCTGGATTTCTTAAGTGAGGTATATAACAACTGATGTATTTCTTTAATCTCTCACCTGTTTGGAGTACCGTCTCTCTCCTGTCCTTGCATGTACTCGTATGAGTCTCACCGAGGCGTACCAGGTTAGGCTTACTGTATAACACACAAGATTAAGAGAGAGGGAGGAAGGGAGAGGGAGAGATAGGGAAAAGGAGAGGGTGAGAAAGGGAAGGAGGAGAGGGTGAGAAAGGGAAGGAGAGGGTGAGAAAGGGAAGGAGGAGAGGGTGAGAAAGGGAAGGAGGAGAGGGTGAGAAAGGGAAGGAGGAGAGGGTGAGAAAGGGAAGGAGGAGAGGGTGAGAAAGGGAAGGAGGAGAAAGTGAGAAAGGGAAGGAGGAGAGGGTGAGAAAGGGAAGGAGGAGAGGGTGAGAAAGGGAAGGAGAGGGTGAGAAAGGGAAGGAGGAGAGGGTGAGAAAAGGAAGGAGGAGAGGGTGAGAAAGGGAAGGAGAGGGTGAGAAAGGGAATGAGGAGAAAGTGAGAAAGGGAAGGAGGAGAGGGTGAGAAAGGGAAGGAGGAGAGGGTGAGAAAGGGAAGGAGGAGAGGGTGAGAAAGGGAAGGAGGAGAGGGTGAGAAAGGGAAGGAGGAGAGGGTGAGAAAGGGAAGGAGGAGAGGGTGAGAAAGGGAAGGAGGAGAGGGTGAGAAAGGGAAGGAGGAGAGGGTGAGAAAGGGAAGGAGGAGAGGGTGAGAAAGGGAAGGAGGAGAGGGTGAGAAAGGGAAGGAGGAGAGGGTGAGAAAGGGAAGGAGAGGGTGAGAAAGGGAAGGAGAGGGTGAGAAAGGGAAGGAGGAGAAAGTGAGAAAGGGAAGGAGGAGAGGGTGAGAAAGGGAAGGAGGAGAGGGTGAGAAAGGGAAGGAGGAGAGGGTGAGAAAGGGAAGGAGAGGGTGAGAAAGGGAAGGAGAGGGTGAGAAAGGGAAGGAGGAGAAAGTGAGAAAGGGAAGGAGGAGAGGGTGAGAAAGGGAAGGAGGAGAGGGTGAGAAAGGGAAGGAGGAGAGGGTGAGAAAGGGAAGGAGGAGAGGGTGAGAGAGAAACAATAAAAAGAAATAAAAATGAGAGTGAAAGGAGATTGAAGAGATAGAGATATATAGAGAGGGAGAGGAGGATTTATGAGGAAAAATGAGATAATGATATAATAACAAAGTGTTTGCAAAAGAATACAAAAAGATTATCAGATAAACATTTACAAATATGCATGAAATATACAATTGTATCAATGACAGGAAAATAAATTTGATTTTATTGAACTGTCATACAAGTTTTCCCAGCACAGGTGATATCTTGGGCCATGGGGTTAGCCTTCTTTCCAAGGATACATGTGAACAAAACTCACAAAATTTTATGAGCTAAAATGGCATGATTAAATATATAATCAGGAGCAAAAATAGCACAAATGCAATTTCAAATAAAGGATACAGCTATTTGAATAAAATTTATAATTAATGAAAAAAGACAGGTACATGCCCACAATAAAAGACACACACATACACACACACATATATGTATATACAGTATATAAATAACTTCTTTCTTTTTTAGTAGTACAATAAAAATATGATTTCATTTTTAACCTAAGTGTCTACAGTTCATAGAATGATTGGATCCATTTTACATACTTGTGCAAATTATGTATACTCTTAATAAACAATTACACTGAAAAAGTTGAAAATGTTATTCATAATCTACATTGCCGGTACATGTTCTCACAATGCAATCAAAATGACAGAGGATGAAGTTTTCATAAATTACCTTTTCCTTGTCCTTCAATGGTAGCAAATTTCAGTGATAAAGATATAAATTACAGAGGTACATGTATGGACTAAAAATTGAATAAAAAAAATCATTCTAGCAGTGTCTTTTTGTGTGGAGAAGGTACTCACTGCAAAGAAATGTCATAACGGCGGTTGCACTAGCAAAGTCTAGATGATGTGCATGAAGGTTAATCATTGTGCAATCAGCAGTAGATCTGAAAAGGTTTAGATATGCCTTCAGCAGCTTTGATCATTTCAAGGGTGAAGCTCTCATACTTCTCAAGAACTTCAACACAGAAATAACAAACAATAGTATCTGTGGAACTGTAAAGACAGCAAAGTAGATGGGATCACCATCTGAAATGGAAATGCCCTCTCTGAAGACAGACTGCAAATGGGTGAGGTTTTGAATCCCTGTACCACTGCCACCATTGTAAAGTGAGTGATTAGAAATAGTGAAGTGCCAAAATGAAGAAGAAAAAAAAAGAAGCTGCATTTTGTGTGAGTTGATCACAGATCTTCCTTATCATTGAGCAAGGAAGTTGCACATCTACCATATTTATTTTCATGGGAGTCACACCCCTTTATAAATGACAAATTCAGTTGCAGGAATTACATAAATACTTTGTGCAGACAGTTTAAAACAAAGCCTTCAAAGTGCAAAGCAAAAATGCATATTATGACAGTATGTATCTGACACAGGAGACTCAAAAGGTATTTCATATCACCTTAGCTTCTCTTTAACTATTTGATTTATTCATTCATATCAGCCTGATCAACACTGTGTAGAAAAGTATGAAGGTAGGTGATAGAACTGATGTTTTCAGAAGATCTGTGCATTTATGTTAAGCCTCTTCATTCCAAACTAAACAAAAGCTGATATCTTTCTCACCCCTCTCCCTTTTTCTATCTCTCTCTCTCTCTTTCTCTCTCTCTTTTCTGAAATTTCCCCTTTCTGATGACTATCAAAGTAAGTTTTGCAAGTAAAAAATAAATTCACTTTATCTAGTCTGAAAAGTAATATACAATCCTAGCTAAAAAGAAATGGTCAATATTAAATTGCAAAGTATATGTTGGAGGGGGTGAAAAAACATTCAAAGTGAAGGGGTAAATACAAACTTTAGATCATTGTGATAAAACAATATTCATGGCAAACATGATAGTACATGGATACACCACACACAGTGAAGAAATTAGTCTTAATAGCAGATACAGTGCCAAAAAAATCATGAAATTAACATCCGCAAAAATTGTCTTTTAAGATGATTAATTCATCCAAATTCAACACACTTAATGCAAATGAAATATGGCTTGTCAACCCAATTTACATTCATGTAAACAGCTATTTTTATTTCAAGGCAGAATCTTTGCTACTGTTCATATTGAGGCAACCTTCTAATTTGTCATGCATGAAATAAAGTAAATTCTAACCTTGTATAGATACTGGTACACATTATTGATTCTAGCTTTAACAGCTTTCAGCTCTGGATATACCAAATGAAAGTCAAACTGTTTTGATTTAAGGTCAAGACATTTGTCTTTCAGGAAGTTTCCTTTAGGATCTGAATACATTCAGAACCAAAGACTGGTACATACATTATCATTTGGAAATGGATTTAAAATAAGGCTGTGAGTAGTGAGTACTCTTCATTCAGAATAGATACATCACTTCCTGTAAACACGTTGCACAAAATATGCAAGTTAGATTACAATCCACCTTCCAAACATATGCAGATCAATTAATGATTCTATTGAACTTTCTAATATTGGTTGACCAAAATCTTATGATGTTGAAGTTGCTTTTAATTACATCTTTTATGCAATGAGGTTCATGGCATACACAAGTGAATATAACTTGGATAAATCGAGATTGAAGTGAATTAGCTAGCACAGCAAAACAATACCTCTCTTCCTTCTGCTTCTTTTTCTTATTCTTTGATCTTTCATGATTGCAGAGTGATAAAAGGAAAAAGCACATACTTTTATAAAGTGTTTTCATAGTTCATACATACAGTAAATACTGCAGAGCTTCTAATATAACTACATACTTTACAGGTAAAACCTTCCTCAATTATACTTAATATTTTTTTTACCATTAAATATTGAAGATCAAAATTTATGTTTGAGTATTTAGGTAGCTTAGGGATATGTAGTGGCATGAAATTGAAAAGACATGTCTGGAACACAAAAACAGATAATAAATGTAGTAAGTCATGTTTGTTGATTAATAGTTCACTTTATGCCATATCAGATTGAAAGTTTAGGAACATTAAGCCTCGTCAAGATGGTAAATGCATTTACCAGCTTCATATCCTAACAATGTGGTTCTTCAACAATTATACAGTTTGGTTTATACACTGTAGGAATGCATCTTTTTGTGCCACCAAGCTACATGCACCTAATACAAGCTTGAACTGACAATTTTCCAAGAATTCAAGGCTCAATTTGTCATTTTCTAGAATCTACAATACAGAGCTTCAGAAGCACTACAATTCATGGCTGTTTCAATGAATAAATCCTTGAATCTTGAATTACGGTACATTAGGGGATTTAATTGGCATTTATATGAAATAAAACAAAATCAAAACTGACTGCATACCTCTTCATCTCCTCCCACCATTCTCTAAGTGATGGCATTGAAGAAGAAAATAAATATCAAAAACATGATTTGTATGTAAAGCAGATTATATACTGTAATTCATGTCAATATTTCAAATCAATGGCAAGAAGAGTGTTATAGTTCAAAATGGTATTTCACTCACTTTCATATCCTGGGACTTTTTTCATATTTCATTTTTTCAAAGTACATATTTTGAAGGAATAAATGTAAAAGATGGTCAATGATTAAGGATAATTATTGAGCTAACAAAATACAGACTCACTGCTCATTGCATTGTGACAAAATCAAATATCTCCATCTTGTTACATTAATATGATACACTTTTGTATTAGTATTCCAAAACCTTTAGACAAATACATTTACATTCACTGTAACATAATCAAGTGAACAAAAAAAAAAAAAAGGATTTCACAACCACCCTTTACAAGAACAGTAGCTCTCAAAATACATTTCACAAACAAAAACCAAATCAATCTTTTTGAGAGGCAGAATTTACCTTTAAAACTCCAACAAAGCACGTTCTGGATTACTGTCTGCTTGTAGAAACCAACTATTATGGTATCTTGTAAACTTTAGGTTAAAACACTTTTTATAACTGAAAATGTCATTTCTTGATAAGCCAATAAAAACAACTGCTCTTTCTTAATCTAAGAAAGATGATACATCAATTTCCAATCTAAACTTATGCTTCGATTGTAATTAAGCTTCAATTGAGCAAGTATATGTTTTCAATTATTTATTTATTTCAAAAGCTAAATCTATTATGGGTTCCATTGGTTTACCTTGCTCTTTTGAAGTCTGATGATGAACCAGCCGCACTAGATGTGTCACAACGTTGCATGGAAAAGGTCATCAAAATGATGGTGAGAAAATCACATATCACAACACAACAACATTACTCCCACCAAGGTAGGAGAGAAGTGAACCTTGATAAGTCTTTCAATCTCACTTCATGTATTTTTGAATGCTTGTGAATGCATGGGGATTATCTGCAGCTGAGTTGAATGTGTCAATTCAGTTGACAATGTCGTACATAAACACACATAACCAATAACTGCACATATACATTATATCAACTCAGTTCATCACATTATGACTGTAATCTCAATTGTGCTTAATTAAAGCAGTTCTGTACTTAGAGTTTGGCAAGTGTTTGAAAATACATCCTTTTCTTCTGTAGTCTGTATCATGTTCATGTATCTTTAGTGTATTTCAAATGAAACACATTAATATTTCAATCTCACTACATTTGAATCAAAACTGGACAATAAATATTATGGATTCACTTATAAAATGTAATTAGATAATTATTGATAAAGATAACATCTGATTGATTGATATCAACTTGAACCATGAATAACAGGGCCATTATGACAATTTATAATTAAGGAGATTAATTAAATTCATTGATGATGAAAAATGATGATGATGATGATGGAGATGATAAGGAATGTAATTGGTTTGATTGTGATCGACATTAGAGTGATGATAGTGGTTATGATATTAGTGATGTAAGTAATTATATAAATATTGATGGATGATGACGATGACGCCGATGAAAAAACAGTGACAAAGACAGTTACAAAGACAGTGGTAACATGAATTCATTAAATTAAGATGAAGATAAAGATAAAAAAAGAAATGATGATGATGAGTGATGAGAATGATGTAGAAGTAGTAAGAGGAGGAGGAGTAATAGCTGCAGTAGTAGCAACAGTAGTAGTAGTAGTAGTAGTAGTAGTAGTAGTAGTAGTAGTAGTAGTGGTAGTAGCAGTAGTAGTAGTAGTAGTAGTAGTGGTAGTAGCAGTAGTAGTAGTAGTAGTAGTAGTAGTAGTAGTAGTAGCAGTAGTAGTAGTAGTAGTAGTAGTAGTAGTAGTAGTAGTAGTAGCAGCAGTAGTAGTAGTAGTAGTAGTAGCAGTATGTAGAACTATACTAGTAGACTTTATTGGATAACTTGTTCAGCACAAAGCTGATGAAGACGATGATGACAATGATGATGTTGATGATGATGATGATGATGATGATGATGATGATGATGATGATAGTGACGATGATGATGGTGATGATGATGATGAATGATGATGATAGTGATGATGATGATAATTGTGATGATGATTGTGATGGTGATGATGATGATTATGATGAAATGACTACCCAAGGGCAAAAATTTGAAGGTCACTCAAATGTGCACACACCACAACAAAACACCAAGTGCTCATCATCACACATGAAATGGTTTGGAAAATACATGAAGTTTTATGAAAAATATACTTTAATATGCTACATTATGTCAAATGGAATAAATTGTTCTAAATACCATCAACATGACTGCAGCATTGTTAGCTGCATGCCTATAAAATATCACTCTTATAAGAGGGAACATACAAACAGGACAGTTTAAGATGGATTAAAGATTAATTGTTTAATTTAAAATTTATGTTGTTTTGATCAGAGATTTTTTTATTACAAACCAAGTGATATGCTGTTGACTTTTAACTTTAAGGAATATTTTGTTTCACACCAAAAATATGTATATCAATGTAGTATGTTTTTTTTCTTATCTTCTGCATTATATAACAAATGTAAAGGAATATTATAAATATTTGTTGATTTGCTGTGGGTGAGGGGATTAGATGTTATAGCACTCATCACTGCAATGTTTTACCTCCTCTTTAATTCTTCATCTGAGAAATCCCTGTTATGTTTGAAAGCGAAAGAGTTATCAAAATATTAATAACCCCATCCTTTTCCAAGAAGGTAACATCTTACAAGACTCTATAGAGTAAATACTTTGAAAACTGCTATGATTTAATTCAACAAAGACCCAAAGATACATGCGTTTTGAGGAAAACATGAAATCCTGAATACATGGTTAAATGCTTGGAATGAGAGCCAAAATCAATATTACATTTACATTACACATTCATTACACCTAGATACAGTAGTCCCATTGCTTACATCTGAAAAATAAGCATCATTTAACTCCTATAACTCAGCTGTATAACAAGAACACAGTCAAAGAAGCAAAGCTTATATGCTTCACACCTTTTCATACCAAAAAATACAGTATACATTGAGTTTGTCATTTCTTTACTATTCTGCTATCTGATATAGATTTCATAGCCTTTGGACATTTTCATAAAAATCATACATTTCTTTCTCCACTTACAGTGTAGTAACATAAAGTACTGCCTCTGACACAAGGCCATTATGATCTGATATCATCATATAAACTAATCAAAAGTTATATAAAGAAGAAAATATTATCATATTAACAACAATGTTTGCATATTAAGTGATACGCGTTTGAACCATGATAATGTATGGACGAACCTTGACATGAAGTCATCCTCTGAGATGAGGTCATCCCTGAATAATGGCAGCGTGATCGAATGATGAGAGCAACAGGCAAGATGGTGAGCACATTTCATATAATTGGTTAAAGATCATATTTATTAAATCACTCATTTTGAAGAACCTGTGCAGAGTGAGTTAGTCTAGGTGCAACAATAAATTGCAACATAAACAACTTCCTGTGACGTCATTCATTCATGACCAAGTTTGTTGATGTCCATATCCTTCTCCTGAAGACCCTGTGCAGTGCAGTATTATCTAGGTGTAAGCTAGGATCCCTTACATGATCAATCTGTGTGAGTTCATGACTACGGTAACTCTTTACCACCTTTGATCAACCAATGGTACAAACTGGCGACTAGCTGCCATAGTCAACTTCAGTCAAACTTACAGTGTGCAAGTACCTCATACTCTATACCTCAGTTCAGGATTTTGATAATTTAAGAGTCAGCACATAGTTATTGTGAATTCATTCTCTTGAAGACCATGTGCAGTGTGGTTTATCTTAGCTACCGGTATGTGCAAGGACAGCATTCAAGGAAAACAAATCTTCTGTTAAAGATGAGAATTTATTTCTTTGAAAGCCAATCAAATTCAAGAATAGAATTCAAGAAATACATTCTTTCTATTGACCTTATTACTTTGGCAACACAGCAATCCTTTATACACTAAATATTAACAATGTATTACTCTTAGAAATGGTGAAGACCACTACTGACTTCATAGATGTTTATTTGATGGAACTGCTATTCACAGCTTTAATAATTGTTTGAAGCTGCATGTCATGTTTCTACTTTTTTCATAATGTCCTTAGGAGTAGAAAGTAGACAGCAATGGACAATATTAGCACATACTGTAAACAATACCTCAGTTCAAGAGAATATTCTGTTTGGCACAATTTTCTTTGAAAACAGCAAAAATTTACAATGAGGTTGGAGCAGAGTAATCGATAAGTTACTTTTGAGCTAGACAGATAAGCCCAGTGTTTCAAACCAAAACTGAGTGCCAAGAACACAAATGCACTGAATACAATGTTACAAAAAGGAGAAAGCTAATAAAATATAAGGTTCAAGCCTAGCCTAGGTTCATTGGTGAAGGCTAGCTAATACCAAATAAATTATCCACTAACTCCAAATAGGCAGGAAGTTCAGTATACTACCTACTGTTGATGTTCATCACACAAGTTCTTGTAAACTGATATATACTATATCATTGAATCGTATTTATGGCTCAAAAGCTACCTGACTCAATAAAAACAAGTCATGCTTTCAAAATACAGCTATGCAAAGATCATAGATGCATGGGTTGACAGGTATATGCATCATATAGAGCACATTTGAACATGTACATGAATATGTAAAATGCGCTATATAAATACATTATTATTATGTTATCATTATTAGGTATGTGGCCTAAACAGGGTGTATGCACTGGCATACATATCATAACATTCTACACCGAAAAGAAGAAATAACTAGATGGAACTTCGACTGCGCGCAGTCGAAAATGATGCCTCCGTCATAGAGCAATTTTACAAACCAAAACAGAAGAAATTTTTCGAATTCAAGTTCAATTGTAATCCATTAACAGGTTCTCAGAATATTGTGATTACAAGCTATTTTTGCATACATAATGAGCCCATGACCTTTGACCTTATGAACCAATAATCTACTCAGTTCATTGGCTCTGCAAGAAACATACATGACCTAAGTTGGCAGGAATCCATCAATCGGTTCTTGAGATAACGCGATCACAAGCTCGTTTTGCATACATAATGTGCCCTGTGGCCTTTGACCTTTGACCTTGTGACCCCTACATCTAATCAGTTCATCGGCTCTGCATGTAACATACATGACCTAAGTTTGGCAGCAATCCATCAATCGGTTCTTCAGATAACGCGATCACAAGCTCGTTTTGCATACATAATGTGCCCTGTGGCCTTTGACCTTTGACCTCGTGACCTCAAAATCTAATCAGTTTTTCGGCTTTGCAAGTAACATACATGACCTAAGTTTGGCAGCAATCCATCAATCGGTTCTTCAGATAACGCGATCACGAGCTCGTTTTGCATACATAATGAGCCCTGTGACCTTTGACCTTTGACCTCGTGACCCCAAAATCTAATCAGTTCATCGGCTCTACAAGATTCATACATGACCAAAGTTTGGCAGGAATCCATCAACCAGTTCTTCAGATAACGCGATCACGAGCTCGTTTTGCATACATAATGAGCCCTGTGACCTTTGACCTTTGACCTCGTAACCCCAAAATCTAATCAGTTCATCGGCTCTACAAGATACATACATGACCAAAGTTTGGCAGGAATCCATCAACCAGTTCTTCAGATAACGCGATCACGAGAACGGGACGTACGTACGTACAGACGTACGTACGTACGTACGTACGGACGTACGGACGGACGGACAACCCGAAAACATAATGCCTCCGGCTACTTCGTAACGGAGGCATAAAAAAATCATCACAGCAATGCAAATGCAAAGTTTCCTGGTTGTTGATTGATATAATACCTTCCAATCAATGACCCTCCAGCAGATCCACTTTTTTTATGACAAGCATTGCATAAAGATGGAATTTCAAATGAAATACATCAGCATAACAAAAGAAATAATTAATAAATGAATAAATACGTATAGCATTCAAACAACAAAAATCAAAGAAATTAATTATGATTTAGAGATACAGGTATGGGGAGGATGAGGAGGGAAGGTTACATAAGATAATGCTACCAAACATAATAACTACTATGATCATAGAAAACAGAAATGTTTCTTTGGATTATATTTCTTCCTGGTAAAGGTAGGGCTAATGCTGTTCATATAGTATCAAGGAAGGCACACTTCATGTAAACACAAGATCTCAAATGTACCCAATAAATCAGTGTGTATTTATAAGACACACACCTTGTTGTATCTAAAAAATATCATAAGTGGAAGAAAACGTACCATCACTTTTAATCTATAACAGCCTTCCTGCTGATTTCAGATAAACATGTCAGGAACAGTATGGTACCAATGAATGCAAGGGAAGCATATCTCACCACACCCTAATAATAATTCGATCATTCAGATAATTTCATTTCATACATGGCAATAGGCTACAACACCAGCACTCACAGTTCTCAAACAACTCTCAAACAGTTTAAGTTTGATGACCAACCTTCTGATCTTGGGTAGAACTAGGACAGTGTTCTTCTTGTCATCTTCCTTCTTACTTTGTTCCTTGGCGGCAGCCTGCTTAAGCTTCTCAAGATGGCGTTCCACCTCCATCTCTACAAAGTAATTGATGGCTTCGATGGGTTGGATGTTATCTAGAGCTGACATATCAGGTGGTACGTTGAATGTCACTGCACAGTAGAAGAGATGCACACGGTTTAACAGAATCACTTTTTTGGGGTGGGGACAATTCTACTACAGGGCAATTAAAATATCTGATTTCACTGTCTGTAGAGACTGTGTTCTGAGCATGCAAGAAGCAATTTTGATGTTTATACTTATCACTAGGAAATGTCCTTGGGTTTTTTTCATTTTGCATAACTATAAACTATTTCTGAAATGAATATGACAATGTGATATGGTCATTCATCTCCTGGTACATGCAAGAGATCACTGTTCAATCTTGACACTAAGAATCTTCTAAATCCACAATTTAAACTCCTCACCACATAGTAAAGGTAACACAATCAAATTACAGCTTTAATTTTAAATGAAGCACTTATGAGTTTTGAAATATTGCCGCAAACAGGTATATTCTTGATCAGCAAATGCTACATTAGGGTGATTAATCATCAAGAGTAATGAATGCATCTGTTAAACTGTTCTCACCTGTGATAGATTTCTGTGGTGGTGGTTTAGGTTTAGTCGCTGAATCACCCTTACTAGTAGCTTCTGATTTGACACTCTTAGAATCAGATCCACCTGCTTCGGAAAGCTTGTCTGAGCTATCCAGGGATCCTTGCTCAGTGGGTACAGGTGCCTAGGGGGCAAATCAAAACACATCATTATTAGAATCGGATTCACCTGCTTCAGAAAGCTTGTCTGAGCTATCCAGGGATCCTTGCTCAGTGGGTACAGGTGCCTAGGGGGCAAATCAAAACACATCATTATTAGAATCAGATCCACCTGCTTCAGAAAGCTTGTCTGAGCTATCCTGGGATCCTTGCTCAGTGGGTACAGGTGCCTAGGGGGCAATGGGAACACATCATTATTAGAATAATATAAACACTTGTCTGAGCTGTCCAGGGATTCTTGCTCAGTGGGTACAGGTGCCTAGGGGGCAATGGGAACACATCATTAGTAGAATAATATAAACATGGGCACAAGCCTACACACATTGCTCCTAGAACAACTATGAACAATACTAGAATTAACATAGTCATGAACTTTTCTGAGTGACAAGAAACTATTGCAAAATGGAACCACTTTGGATTGTTTCTAGATTTAAAGTATTATAAATAGCATATCTAGCAGGGACATCAAAGGGTAACCTACTCAATAAAAATAATATGATGCTACACATTATCATGATATTATTTCTACATGAGTCAAAAGTTTACTTTCTATTTGTTCAGCTTTGCAATTTCCAATAGTACATCTTATCTGTAGACAAACAAATTAAAACAAAGGCACTATTTAAGGTTTTGTATAACAATATTTAATCTTTCATGCAAGAAACAGAGGTGTAACAGGGGGCAATACTTACCTCTACAGGTTGCTTGATAGTTCTCTTAGTAGGAGAGCCAGAAGTCTTTGTACCTCCACCAATACTTTTCTTACGAGCAATCTTCCCTGCTAACTTGCCTTTCTGCAGCTGCTCTATAGACCTCTTCAGATGACCCTGTAGGAAGGAATGAGAAAGTATTAACACCAGGAAACCAGGATGGAAGCTTGATCTCTTCAGATCTTAGTTGGGAAGCTAGCTAGGGAAGGCATGTATGTCTATCCATGCCATGGTATCTAGATTTGTTATGATATCTTTGTATACTATGCAAATTGTGTGCAAAGCGAATTTCCAGTTGATAATAAAATTGAAATTGAAATAGGAAATGAGCTGTGGTTCAACTCCCATCAGATGAAGAAGCTAATGATGGCTTGGTGTCCTACCAATAGGCACAAACATACTGACTAGGTTGGATCAGGGAGGGCTAGCATTGCTACTGAAGGAAGTATCCTGTACAATGATGGACTTGAGTTTGTGCAAGCGATAGGTGTCTTGCTTTTAGGTGTGTAATTTCATGTAAGAAGCCCCGGGTATTTCTATTTCTCCCTCTCATCCAAATCACATACATCCAAGCTATCTTACACCTTGAAAATTACCATCTAGACTTACCTTAAACAATGCCATCCATTGTTCTAGCCACATAGTTGCCATCTCTCTGACTTCTTTCTTTCTACTCTCCTCTTCTATGCCCCATACATCCCAGCTATCTAGCTCCTTGACAAAGTAGTTATGAGCATCTTCAAGCCCCATGTGGATAAACAGATCATGAGCCATCTCTCTGCAGAATCAAACAACGCATTGAAAACAATTTCACATCTCTCAAGATCTCTCAAGACAGACTATGCTAAAAACTTTCACAGGTGCTTATCCATCGCATGAATGTTATTCTTACATTCTCAAATATCAAAGCATCGAGAATCAAATATTGTATTGTTGTCTTATTTTACAATCAGTATCCTTGTCACTAAAGGATATTGTTGCATTCTGATTCACATATATGTGACAACAGTCGGAAATATACTCAGTAACCATTAGCATATCAGTGATATTGAAACCTAGGAAAAGGACCATTAAAACTAAGTATCATAACATGGTGGTATCATTATTTTTAAGCTTTTCCTCGGGGTAAGAACAAATAACTATCAGATTTGAGGCCAAAACACACAACATAATTTTCTACTAATTCACCAAATTGGAACATCCATGTTGATAAATGACCGATGGGCCATGCAATTACATTCAAAAGAAGACAGTAGGACTCTCTCCTTACCTGACCATCTTATCACCATCAACGAACTCAACCATGATCTCAACTACCACCTTCTTGCTAAACTTGCCATGTGCCTTGAAGAAATGCAGACACGCAACTATGAAGTCCTGGAAAAGACCATAACAATGACCATAAGAATAACTGTAATAATTCCCATCTCCCAAATCAATAATAATAATAATTCAGATCCAAGTGGTCCTTCACTCTTACGATGCTAAACTCCTCCACGGCAACATCCAGCAATTCTTTTCATAATTGCACATTCAGTTGACAATTCTTACTTTGTCATACCTTAGACCATGCAAGGCTGAAGGGTAAAACAGGAATGACATTATGATTTTTATTTTTGTTCATGTAAAGATTCAATCTCGAAAAATGATATCAAAATATCAGTAAACTATATCACAATAGATATTCTTAAACAATCAAAGTCTTGAACTCTAATACACCAACCTTTTGATCTTCATCCTGGCATGTTGGTCCAATGTTCTTGTTGAGGATAGATAGAATAAGATCCATGACTGATTCCACATTAGGGATAGGATCCTGTTGATGTAGAGCTAAAATAGCATAGAGGATAGGAGTCTTCATACCATAGTCTGCAATCTTGAGGAGACGTAGGAGCATGGTCACAAAGGCACTCACTGTCCACGGTTTAGGGAAGCTCTGGGAATAGGATAGGATTAGGATGGCAAGATTAGAGGTAAATACATTGGGTGACTTGGAATTTTGAACAGGAATTTCTCATCTTTTCACAGCAGTGTTATTTTCACAACTAAATCCTAACTTATCTTATTCAGAATTGAGAACAGACATTAAGGTAATGTACACTCTTACATTTAAAGTAAAAGAGAAGAAAGTAGATTTCCCAATTTTATAATTTTGGAAACCCATATATGATAGAAGAGTGGAACCCCATAATTAATTCTTAAAGACCCTTAAGAGGTGCTTCTATTTTGTACTACAGTCAGACTTATCTATATAGCGACCAAAGTGAAACACAAAAAGTGGTCTTTTTAGACAGGTGGTCTTTGTAGACAGGTTCCTTTAATACATGTTTCAATGAGAAACCATATACGAGGGAAACAAAAAATGTGGTCTTTGAAGACAGATGGTCACTAAAGCAGGTTTGACTGTGTCTTGATTTAATATAATATTGAATGTGCATGAATGATAGGAAACCTACCCTATTGGTAGCATTAGGGAAGTACTGCTCAAACCACTCAGACCCTTTAAACTGTGTGATAAACTGTGGCAAGGGTGTAGGAGGGCGTGGTGGAGAAGGCGTTGGTGGTGGAGGGGGAGTGGGCGTTGGCTCCTTGGGAGGTGGTGTCTTGGGTTTGGAGATCAGCTTCTCAACCTTCATCTTGGTGGTTTTCTTGGGTGGGGGCTTGACTGGCTCCTCCTTAGGCTCTTCTGGGGGTGGGGTTGGAGGAGGGGTAGGGGTGGGGTCCTTCTCTACCTCTAAGTCCTCGGGTGTGGTTGGTTCCTCTAGGTTGATGCCGAGCCTCTTGGCAAGGTGGGAGGTGGACGGAGAACCAAAGTCCAGGTCATCCACAGATTTCTTCTTCTCAACATCCTGAGTGAGATACATTTCATTTTATGACAACAAGTTAAACCATAGTATGTTAATATTATGACAGATGGGGGGAATAACTATTTTCACTTGTTCTTTGCATTCTCCTTTATGTTTGAAGAAAGATTAAGAAGGAGATCATTTCAAAATACATATAATCAACAATGATGTCATTTTTTCCAATTAAACTTATTTTATTTACTGTGCCTGTAAACCTGAAGTTGTGACAACAATTTAAATGTTTATACATGTATGCCCAACAAACTAGGAAACATCCTTTCTAGAGAATTCAAATGACAATTTGATATTTTAAAAGCTGGTAACTGAACATAAAAAAATTGTATTGCATGCTCACAAAATATTGTTGACTGATCTTTAAAAAAGAAGTGAATTTATCAGTTACTGTAAACATACATCAATTATGAAATGATGCGAATTGGATTTAGACACGATTCTAGATACAGTAATCAACAACATAAAATGTATGACATATAAATGCTGGATGAATGTTAAAAAGTTCTTTCATGATTTTAGAAGTGATATGATGCTGAAATTGTAATTTTAAGCCACATGGTGTATATATATGAACAGAAAACAAAGTACCAATACATGATGATACAAGTGTGAAGTTGGCTGCTAATGCATAATGAACACAGAAAGAGAGAAAGAGGAGAATCATAGAACAAGACATATCTATGATACCATATCCCAATGAATATGTGAACAAGGATCAAATGTAACATTGATGTAAATCATATTTTATGATTGAAAACAAAAATTACTTATTTCTTGTATACTTTATAACTTGTACATAACTTCTCACATTAAAAAGCATTATATTTGACTAAAAGAATGAGACATCCTTTCACACTGAAACCTACATGCTACAATTTGACTATTTTCCTGTACTAAAACTTCACCAAACTTCCAAACTTAAAAAGTGTATACATTTATTATTATGCAGTACACCCTGATACTCCATAAACTGTGGTTTTCATAAAATTGATAATCATCACAAATTTGAACAAAAAATATCTTGTATATAATAAATCAATAATTGCAGATATTCTTGAAAATGTGTCCATCCCATGCATTTCTTTTGTTATTCTATTCATGCAATATAGAACAACTACATGCACATGCCTTATATATTCCCAAACATGCAGTATGTGCATGTATTGTAGCTTCATATTTAATTTCTATATATGTAACTGTGAACATGCAAAATCTACAATATTTCACTCATGGATTTCTGTGTAAAATTCCCTTGAATAACTATTCATAATAACATAATATCATCTAAGAAAAAGAGGGGCTCTGAAATTTATGAACTGTTATTTTTCCTAGTAAGCTAGGGCAAAAAAGGCACAACTTTTCCAGAATGCATTAATTAAATCTCCTAAAATTTACTGGAGAAAAAAGCAATCCATTTCCTTGAATATATCAAACTTTCTAATATGCATGTAGTATATGGCTTGTACAAAAAGATATATGCCTTTAAAAAATTCTCTAACATAACTCAACTATTAAATAAAAATTAAATAATTTCTATTCATCTATATCTAGCATTATCTACTATCAACATTGTATCTCCATGTATTTAACTATTTACCTATTCATTTTTCTACAAATGTATATATTTATCTCTCCATCTATCTGCTTATCGCTCTATCAATTTATCTGTTTGTATTCTTCTATCTACACATCTATCTATATGTCTATCTATCTCTCTATGGCTAACTATTGAGCTTTCTAAATCATGTTAATGAGACATTCTTCTTTAGAAGATCTATTGCATCTTTAATGATAAATTCTCCTATTCCATGCACACTTCTACATAAGACATGCAATACATGCATTCCAGATAGACAGACAAACTCAATATGTTGAATTCTATGTTTACCTCCTGTTTGCTCCCATCAGGTAAAGGAGTCTCCTGGGTGCATTGCGTGGCAAAAATGGCAAAAATGATCTTAACAAATGATTCAATTCTTTGGTTAAATTGTTAGAGAAGATTTGGCACACCATGCTGTTATTAGAACACCATGTTTTTAATCTATCATTGGAGAGGTGATATCATTGTAGAAAGGTTGTGTTCACTGTGTTCAAGAAAGTGGAATCAGTTTCAATCATAAGGAATTAAAGAGGTATAGATCGTGTTGATTATATTTGGATTGACTGATGGTCAGGAAACAGTAGAGTAATCAGTCGCTTGTCTAAACCACATCATACTGTTAATAGAGTACCGAAGCTGTGACATTATACAAATCTATTTTAGAATTTCCCAATTTTTTCTTCATATTTCGAAAGAACATCAAAAATAATGTCCAAATGTCGAAAACCAATTGAATATGTTAAGTATTGGCTGAGATATGACCATCTGAATAAATATACTCCCCATAGGAACTCAGTGTTATATGCTCTGGCTCCTAATGGTTAGGAGCCAGAGCATATAACACTGAGTTCCCATAGGACATATATTCATTCAGATGGTCATATCTCAGCCAATACTTAACATATTCAATTGGTTTTCGACATTTGGACATTTGGACATGTTCTTTCGGAATATGAAGAAAAAAATTGAGAAATTCTAAAATAGATTTTTGATGACGTCATACTTCACCACTCTATATACTGTATCTCATTTGAATCTTTTATGAGGATATTATCACTGGGTGTTTGATATTACAAGAGAGAGATATTAGAATAAGCTTAAATTGGAAGAAGATAAGAGGTATAAGGAGGGTTATTTGGTGTTTACAATTCATCTGCACTCAATATTTAATGCTTATGTTATGAGAGTTGTGATTCTTTCCACACAACTTTGATCAAATATGATCTGCTGAGAACCAGAATGATGTTACATCATGCACATACATGTAAATAGACTTAACACTCTTCTTGCTCTCGGCGGGGGAGAATATTGTTGTTACTTTGTGTTGAAGTCATAAAACAGCATTCACTGCAGGACAAGCCGACAAGGGAATTACAAGGATTGTTAACTAAAATAGAAACAAAAATGAGCTAAGAAGCAAGCTTGCTATAGTTAGGATTACTTGACAGGGAACACAACCTTCATACCGTAGCCAAAAAAAAAAAGAATCTGGATTTTTTAAACAGAAGACTACTATTTCAATTTCACTGAAACAGTGAATTCTTATAACTATACATTCCAACAATCAAGGCTGGTATGTCACTGTATTACAGTCAGATTTTCTTTCTGATTTGGTTGATGACTGTACAAAACTGTCTTAATGGTCATTAAATCCATAAATAGATCATCAAATAATATTCAATCAAATTCAATGTTACTTTCATCTAGTATTGAATCATTTTTCAAGAATTGGAACAAGAAAAAAATGTGCAGAAAACCACTCTGAATTGTGCAGAACACACAATCAAACACATACATCATATATAGTGTGAATTGAATACAGGTACATCCTATTTGAAAAACAGCCTTTTCTTTCTTTACTTTTCTTTTCTTTTCTTTTTCTCCTTCTCCTTTCTTCCTTTTTTATTTTGCTGCCTACATAAGTTTAATTTTCATCTTTTTCACCAGACAGCATAGTTGACAGTTTAAATGTACTGTGGGCACATACGTGTAGCTCTACACTAAATTTAGAATTATAATTTTTAAAAGTGATTATAACTTTTTCCTAAAATTGATCATATTAAATAAGTAAATCAACTTTTGGTTAGAGCACTCATGAAAACAGAGTATTATTGATTTAATAAGAACAAGAAAACATTTAAATTAAATTACAAATAAACAAACAAAATAGTTTTACCACACGATTTATCATTTCAAAATGATTTAGATAACCATAGGAGAATTTCATCAGTGAATGAAGAAAGTCATATTTTGATTAATCGCAGGATGAAGTAACAACCCCTTTTCCAAGTAAGAACAATTAATTAATTCTTTAATGATCTTCAAAAACAGCAAAATACAAGTTAAACAACCCTCCACCGGGTACAGAATGTAAGAGGCGTACTGATTAAGTGATTATAGTAAGCCTTATAAATGATTTATATCCTAGTAGTAAAACAACATGCACCCATACCAATGAAACAAAAGGAAGGGGGAAAAAAGTCCTCAAAAAATATCCCAAGTACATTTCTTTGACTTATACCAAAAAATACCTCTTCTTCCTCAGACCAAATTATGACTCGCTGTTCCATTGAAAAAATGCAAATAAATAAAAGTTTAGGAGAAAAGTGAGTAAAATGAAGCAACATGAAATATCTTGTTTACAATCATATGGTGAAATGGCTAAAAAGTGATTGCAAAGGTTAACCATGAGTTGATTAAGAACAAATTGCATAATGCAGCAATATATGAGGCAATCTAGCAATTAATACTTCCCTTAACTAACCCAATCACTTTTATTATCAATTGCCAGTAAAAATCTTGAGTTTGATAGTTTGAATCAGGAAAGTTTGTATGATCAGTATCTCCAACATGCATCATCTATGTTCTTGCTTTTCATGAGAACTTTAAGTTTCATAATCAAATTAACACTTGCAGAGTCAGCTGTGTACACAAGCTACATTATTGTAGTATGTATAACACATACCATACAATAATAAATACCTTTCTTTCATATTTGATCTTCACAGTTTATTTCTTTTTAATTGGAGGCACTGATCATACGCAAAGATTGTTGTAGAATGAATATGATATGATGCATTCCTTTAAAAATACTGATTTAAGCTAGGTAAGTAGGTCGAGGCACATACGTGTGATATTTTGAGTGGTAAGCAGTGGTAAATGTGTAAAAATTATAATAAATGAACTAAGATATATACATGTATATAATGATAATATTAGATTAGCTAGTAGACATATATAATCCCTTTAAAGAGTCATACAAATAAATAATCAGAAACAGTATGGAAAACTACGTAACAAATACATATATGTTTTAAAAATCCAAATTGAACAAGTTATTAAATGCTTGTAGTCAAATATCACAATAAATTTGCTGTTAGTATTACGGTACTTATTATCATATGTACATTTCTACATGAAGAATGGACAGATTTTGGAAACATGCTAACAAATAGAATGACATTAAAATGTGTATGTCTCACATGCAAGTTGAAAAGTGAAACAAAAGACAACTGTATGGTAGTAAAAAATTTGATGACTTTTCTACTTGACTCTATATCTAAAAGAGGTATAGAATATTATTGTATAATTTGGAATCTCCAAAAGATAGGATTAAAAAGAATATTGAGTTAACACTGAACAGCCAGCTTTCCATCGACCGAATGGCTAAAACTAGAAGGAAAGACTGAGTTTTTTGTTTTGCCTGTGGGATATGTTATGATGATTCTTAGGGCTAGTTTTAATTCAAAATTTTTATCTTTTTTCTCTCTGAATTTCCTGTTCATTGTAATTAAATGCCAGTGATTAAATTTTTGAGTGATCACATGACAAACAAATAGAGACAATGTACTGCCATGAATTCTACACAAAATTTATACAAAACAGGGGATGGAGCGTCCATTGCTTGGAAATGATATTTTGAAATTGAACATACTTTCCATCCATATATACTCCAGAAATCATAGTAATCATCACTCCTTTCAACTTGGATTTTTCCAAATCTCGGTTTGGATTTGAGAGCTGTTTTGGAGCGACATATTAGCTCTTCAATTGAAAGTCCCTAGGTATCAGAAGATTTGTCAGATGTTACAAGCATTTTAGGGAGGATGAAAGAAGAATTACAATGAAATGCCTGTTTCATTACAATAGACACACTTGATCAAAGAAGGGTAAAAAAGGAGCTAACATTTTATGTGGAATTCTAGTACACCAAATTTAAATAGTAGTTTTGTAGACATGGACTGAAATTACTTCAGAGTAAAGGGTTATGATTATACTCTATTATATTTTGTCACATGTGTTTTCTGGAAGACAAATAAACTTGATCGTTAAAAGGCAGGAAAGAGAGATTTTGTCTATCCAATACAGATTTCATGCTTTTATCATTAGATGGGAACATTAGTGTATTAATTCAAATCTAAGACTATAAATACTAGATACATACTTATGATTAATCAAAAATCAAGATACACTAAACATCTGGGGTTGTATTTCATCACACTTAATTCTGGAAGAAACTTCTCAATATCATGTAGCAAAGATAAGTGCATTGTGTAGTGCACAGTGTTTGTTTGAAGGTTGCATAATTTACACAACGGAATATCAGCAATGCAAATATCAAAATTATCATGTGTTTGTGCTCGTAAGTGACTTGTGCTGAAATAAGTTGAATACACGCAAACATGTTATTGATATCATTCTCTATAACAGTGGGTACAAATTCCAAAGATACTTGTGCTGTTGCTCATAACATCAAGTGCAAACTGGTATATGATATGTCAATGTAAGCGCCATCTGAAATTGGGATCATGTTAAACTAGTAGACAAAAAACAATTTTGTTGCATATGTACTGGTGTAATTTAGTGTTTCCATTGTGACATAAACACATATGTAGTATGCACTGACCAATATTATGTGATGCTACCCCATTAAATAATTCAAGAAAGTGGCTATTATTCAATTAGAAGGCCAGGAGTACATTTGGTTACATTTATGATAAATAAGAATGAATGGGAATATATTTGGGTATTTGCAGCCACTTGAGATTAATAGAATGGAAGGGTGTCATTAAATGATCTAACATTGAAAGGAATGCACACCTGTCTGTGAAACATACGACTATCATTCCTGCTACCTGAAATATTGGTTTTGGTGCAATTCATAGTTTATCATCATCATTACATTCAAATGCATTCCAAGTGCATCCTTCAATCCATTCTATGAGAAAGATTGATTCTGCTGTACAATTTTCAAATTGTCAGTTCCTATCAAATTATTGACAGATTTAGCTGCCACTTATTTGAAGGTTGGATTGAGGCCTACACAATCGAATGTTATCTGTAAGGTGCTGTACTGTATGACCAACTAATCGACCATCGCAATATCAAAGACAACATGCATAAACAGGTAGGTGTGCGGGTTGAATGGGAGGATCAAGTGCAAAGACATCGATCGTCAAGCTGGAAAGCACACAGACACACTCAGAGGAAGGACATTGTTTCACAGACAGGATGTCATATCCGGGATGAACTACTACTGATTCTATTTCTCTAGACTACTACTACAAAAAGGAATAGAATCATGTTTATATCTCTATATATATATGTGTGAATCACTCTGTGTATGCAAGTATGTACTAGGGAAAAAGAAGAGGTTAAAATTGTGAAAGGTGCTTCATATGAAACAAAACGTTCACCTCTGTTTCTGTTTCAGCAATAAACTGCAAGGAAATAAAACAACAACATATATTTCAAAACAGAAGTGAACACTGACAAACGACACATAACTTGTCATATAATGCCATACTGGGTATGAAAGTATAGGTATGATTTTGGCATCACTAAATCATTTCCAAGGTATTAGCTTGCAACTAATTTTTGTTAGTGGTGAATCTTTTATGTAAAAGCCATAACATCACCCAATTTTCTTTCAATAATATGTATGCTATTAACACACTTTGCACATCACAGCTAAGAACATGCTTGTATCTCTCAAATGACACATTCATGAATTCATCAATCGATATATATATATATTAATCAACTAATACGCCCCAAGCAAATTATATTAATCAACCACATTATAAATCAAAGTCAAACAAACATAATATTTGAACAATCGTCAAACAACATAACACACAACAGATAAAATACACTCTGCCATGCATAAAATAAGCAGGCGATTACATCTCAGTCAGCTGAGAGAGGAAGAAGGGCATGCTTTCATGTCAAATGACAAGAATTAATGCCCCTTTTGCTCTAGCTCCACATGGATTTGATGCAAAAAAGAAGTGAATAAGATGAATGAATACCTGCTTATGAAGAGCAACCTGAGCAAGTTGATCTTCATCCAGCTGAGGAGGACGGTATCTATCTTCCATGATCTTAGCCGTCTCTTCAGGAGGCCAGATCAGTCGAACAAGCACGGAGTTAGGGATGAATCCTCGAGGATGGATTGGTAGAGGATGAGCCTCCTTCTCCTCCTCCTCTTCCTCCTCCTCTTCTTCTTCTTCTTCTTCTCCCGTGTCCATTTTCTCTTCTTTCTCTATATTCTCTTCCTCCTGCTCGTCATCAGCTTGATTCCCGTCAGTTTCCATCTTCTCCTCCACCTCTTTTTCTTCTTCATTTTCTTCCATCTCTATCTTTGACATCATTGTTCCTTCATCTTTCTTCTCCACCATCTTGTTTTCATTTGCCTCATCTTCATTTTCATCCGTTTCGATAGGTTTATTCTTATCCACCTGGAAAGAATAAAAACAACATCTATTCTTATAATCATGACAAACCATTGACATCTCTATACAGCAGAAAATCACTGGAGAAGAGAACAGAGAATTCAATACATCTCTGTATATTCCTAACAAACACAGAACTTTTTCAAGTATTCATAGAGGTTTGAAAGATTATAAAATAATTTCACTGTCACTTTATTAATCAAACATCCAACGTGTCTGAGAAATGTTTTTGTTTCTGCCCAAGGTAAAACTAGCCCCTGTCTTGTTCAGATAAATTTTTTAATAATGAAGTATAAACTCCTTAACATCACTGAAAATTGAAAAGAACAACTAAACTGATAACAAATATGAACATCTCTGGAAAAAAGGATGACAATCCCATGCCTGAGCACATACTCTCCAAACAAGAGGAACACTAAAAAGAAATTACACCCGAAAAAAAAAGGAGCAGCGTTAAGAGAGAAGAAGAATGAACTGACCGTAATGCAAACAAAAAATCAGTCTAAAACACCCCTTTTACCATGGAAAGAAAAATTACAAAAGAGAAAAAAACAAAACTAAAAACAAGTGGTGACAACAAAAAGTAAACCTTTTGCATACAAGGACTGCATCTAAAAAACAGAGTAGTAAAAATGACAGATTCATACGGTCAAAACAAAATCGAATTAAAGTCTATCGGGACAAGATGGCCCCATGAAAAGCCACCCAGATCACTGAGTTCTACGTGTAAATGTGCATGTTATGCTTGTAACCTAGTGAATTTACTTGGTGTGTGTTAAGAAGAGTCAATCATAGAGTATGCACTAGGCCTACTTACTTCACATGTACAGACCATAGTTTCAATTGAAAGCTCAGAATCCTTAGTGGTTAGAAGATGAGAAGATTTTTTAAATTAGTGATTACACAATAAAAGACAAAATGAGAAGATCATTGGCTGGCAACAGCAATCACTTCTATGCTGAGGCCCGACCGGCAGTAAATCCTACCCAAGATTAAGAGTAGGCTCAAGAACAAAGAGACATTTTCCCTATGGAATATAATTTTAGACCCAACAGTTTAAAACTAGAAAGTTAGATTCATGACAATCGTTCAAAAACCAGTTGGCTATGAAAAGTTTAATAATTGTGATAGAGAAGGGCATTACAGTCATCCAATGTAGGGTGTGGCTTTAAACAGCCAGGAGTTATGCTCTCTTGGGAAGGTAGGAACATGGCAAAATAATGTGCCAGGTAAATTCAGGACTGGCTGGTCATGTTTCTTATAATGTAATTACAATACAGTCAAGAAGTGACTATACAAAGGTAAATTCCAAATATTCTAATGAATTTCAATCAATTATTGCATCACAACTGAGAACAGGATATTAGTAAAATGAAATAAAGATGGCATACAAAGATAGGTTTGAGCTGGCCAGGTTTGCGATGAGACCATCTAGCTAGAGATGGGTCTGGGAAGAATCCCACAGGTTCTCTCTCTGGCATCCACTTTCTCTCTGGATCATAATCCACAATAGGTCTAGTCAGGTCCCAATCATCATAGTCTGGAATGTCTGGTCTGTGGGTCTCAATATGGACCTGGTCCCAGTAGGAACGGAAACCCTCGTTCTTGACCCTGTTTGCAGCTGATGTGCCCCTCTTGATAGCATTGGCCTTGGAGAACTCAAATTCACCATCTCGGAGCTTGCGGAGCTCTTCTTCTCTTGCTGCCAGCCTGGCGTAAGCCTAGCAATGAAAAACAGTCATTAAAATAGTTGGTAAGACAGCATATTTACTCTTTGTGGATCTTTACTGCTTTAAAATAAATGTACAAGTAAATACCAAATGAAACTTGTTCTATTTTTGTAGAGGTGTCGTGGTCGAGTGGATAGGTCGACGGACTGTCGATCTTAATGTCCGCAGTTCGAGTCCCGCCGCGGCACTAATGTCCTTCGGCAAAACATTGATCTACATTTGTAACACTCAACCCAGGTGATGTAAATGGGTACCTGGCAGGAAATTAATTCCTCGAAATGCTAGCGCGCCACAGTGGCTGCCTTGATAAAGCCAGGGTAATAATCGGGGCAGCGCCAGGAGCGTCACTAGGTGACAGACATGTGCGCTATATAAGAAGCCACCATTATCATTATTATTATCATTTAAGATAAGTGTTTGAGGTCTTTGCTTTTCCTATTATACAGATATAAAATTGAAATCCTCATCACTGGTTCTTTTTTCCACAGTTTTCTCTTTTTTTTTTTGTAATGACTCTTTCTCAAGCTCCTACCTCTTCTTTCTCCTCTTTCTCCCTTGTTATCCGATCTGTCTCTTCTTCTGTCAGTGTGTCCACAAAACGCTCAAATCTGTTCAACAAATAGGGACAGCAGAAAAGCAATAAGCTTGTTGCATGATAAGGTAAATATCTGAATACATGTGAGGTATAGAAATGATGGATGTTTACATCAAACAGCACATAATCAAGATATTCATCAGCACAGTAAATAGTATTACAGAAACATGACATAAGAAGAGGGAAAACAGCATAACACTCATGAACGGACAAAGAAAAGGAAAAAAAAAGAAAGAAGAAAAAAATGAAGAGGAAAGAGAATTCAAGGGCAAACCAACCCTTGTAATAAGTTATTTGAATGAAAGCAGAAACAGAATGGCAAAATTTTGAAATAATCGGACCAAAAGGAAGTTATGAATGTTTGAAATATGAGATCACTTAGTCTATACTAATCTCAAATTTTTGTAGTTTGGTCAGTGAATTGTGACGAATGACGTGGATAACTCTCCAATTTCTGTGTACATAAATATCATTCATTTTTGTTTGTCTCGTAAGTTCCTTCTCCCTTGGGGAACTACTCAAAATATATTATTGATATCATATTTTTAGAGGTTCTCTAAAAAGAATACATACCTGCCAACATTTGTGTAACTGGCAATACGCAGTAAATCTGTACAAAAAGTGAATACAAATTCGCTGCTCGATCATGCAGCCATTAAACGCACGCACTATGTGAAATCTCAAATCACGGCCCATGATAAAACAAGCTTAGCTTCAGCCAATAAACAACCCCCTAAATATCAAAAAATCAAAATATTAACAAAATGTAGGTCCTCAATAACAGAAAAATCTGAATATTCCAGATTATACGGAAGGGTTGGCAGGAAAGCCTATAATCTTATAAATCTAGAGAGAGAGAGAGAGAGAGAGAGAGAGAAACTTACAGGATGACATACAGGGAGTGAATAACTCTCTTCCATCACTGAACATAGCAGTGTGGGTATGAATCCTATGATCTTATGAATCTAGAGAGAGAGAGAGAGAGAGAGAGAGAGAGAGACAGAAACTTACAGGATGACATACAGAGAGTGGATAACACCCTTCCATCACTGAACATAGCAGTGTGGGTATGAATCCTATGATCTTATGAATCTAGAGAGAGAGAGAGAGAGAGAGAAACTTACAGGATGACATACAGAGAGTGAATAACACCCTTCCATCACTGAACATAGCAGTGTGGGTATGAATCCTATGATCTTATGAATCTAGAGAGAGAGTGAAAGAGAGAAACTTACAGGATGACATACAGAGAGTGGATAACACCCTTCCATCACTGAACATAGCAGTGTGGGTATGAATCCTATGATCTTATGAATCTAGAGAGAGAGAGAGAGAGAGAAACTTACAGGATGACATACAGGGAGTGAATAACTCTCTTCCATCACTGAACATAGCAGTGTGGGTATGAATCCTATGATCTTATGAATCTAGAGAGAGAGAGCGAGAAAGGAACTTACAGGATGACATACAGGGAGTGGATGACTCTCTTCCATCACTGAACATAGCAGTGTGGGTATGAATCCTATGATCTTATGAATCTAGAGAGAGAGAGCGTGAAAGGAACTTACAGGATGACATACAGGGAGTGGATAACATCCTTCCATCACTGAACATAGCAGTGTGGGTATGAATCCTATAATCTTATGAATCTAGAGAGAGAGAGCGAGAAAGGAACTTACAGGATGACATACAGGGAGTGGATAACACCCTTCAATCACTGAACATAGCAGTGTGGGTATGAATCCTATGACCTAATGAATCTAGAGAGAGAGAGAGAGAAACTTACAGGATGACATACAGGGAGTGGATAACACCCTTCCATCACTGAACATAGCAGTGTGGGTATGAATCCTATGATCTTATGAATCTAGAGAGAGAGAGCGAGAAAGGAACTTACAGGATGACATACAGGGAGTGGATAACACCCTTCCATCACTGAACATAGCAGTGTGGGTATGAATCCTATGACCTAATGAATCTAGAGAGAGAGAGAGAGAGACAGAAACTTACAGGATGACATACAGGGAGTGGATGACTCTCTTCCATCACTGAACATAGCAGTGTGGGTATGAATCCTATGATCTTATGAATCTAGAGAGAGAGAGAGAGAGAGAGAGAGAGAGAGAGACAGGAACTTACAGGATGACATACAGGGAGTGGATAACACCCTTCCATCACTGAACATAGCAGTGTGGGTATGAATCCTATGATCTTATGAATCTAGAGAGAGAGAGAGAGAGAGAGAGAGAGAGAGAGACAGGAACTTACAGGATGACATACAGGGAGTGGATAACACCCTTCCATCACTGAACATAGCAGTGTGGGTATGAATCCTATGACCTAATGAATCTAGAGAGAGAGAGAGAGAGAGAGACAGAAACTTACAGGATGACATACAGGGAGTGGATAACACCCTTCCATCACTGAACATAGCAGTGTGGGTATGAATCCTATGATCTTATGAATCTAGAGAGAGAGAGAGAGAGAGAGAGAGATAGAGAGAGACAGGAACTTACAGGATGACATACAGGGAGTGGATAACACCCTTCGATCACTGAACATAGCAGTGTGGGTATGAATCCTATGATCTTATGAATCTAGAGAGAGAGAGAGAGAGAGAAACTTACAGGATGACATACAGGGAGTGGATAACACCCTTCCATCACTGAACATAGCAGTGTGGGTATGAATCCTATGATCTTATGAATCTAGAGAGAGAGAGAAAGAGACAGAAACTTACAGGATGACATACAGGGAGTGGATAACACCCTTCCATCACTGAACATAGCAGTGTGGGTATGAATCCTATGACCTAATGAATCTAGAGAGAGAGAGAGAGAGAGAGAGAGAAACTTACAGGATGACATACAGGGAGTGGATAACACCCTTCCATCACTGAACATAGCAGTGTGGGTATGAATCCTATGATCTTATGAATCTAGAGAGAGAGAGAGAGAGAGAAACTTACAGGATGACATACAGGGAGTGGATGACTCTCTTCCATCACTGAACATAGCAGTGTGGGTATGAATCCTATGACCTAATGAATCTAGAGAGAGAGAGCGAGAAAGGAACTTACAGGATGACATACAGGGAGTGGATGACTCTCTTCCATCACTGAACATAGCAGTGTGGGTATGAATCCTATGATCTTATGAATCTAGAGAGAGAGAGCGAGAAAGGAACTTACAGGATGACATACAGGGAGTGGATAACACCCTTCCATCACTGAACATAGCAGTGTGGGTATGAATCCTATGATCTTATGAATCTAGAGAGAGAGAGAGAGAGAGAAACTTACAGGATGACATACAGAGAGTGGATAACACCCTTCCATCACTGAACATAGCAGTGTGGGTATGAATCCTATTATCTTATGAATCTAGAGAGAGAGAGAGAGAGAGAAACTTACAGGATGACATACAGGGAGTGGATAACACCCTTCCATCACTGAACATAGCAGTGTGGGTATGAATCCTATGATCTTATGAATCTAGAGAGAGAGAGACAGGAACTTACAGGATGACATACAGGGAGTGGATAACACCCTTCCATCACTGAACATAGCAGTGTGGGTATGAATCCTATGATCTTATGAATCTAGAGAGAGAGAGAGAGAAACTTACAGGATGACATACAGAGAGTGGATAACACCCTTCCATCACTGAACATAGCAGTGTGGGTATGAATCCTATGATCTTATGAATCTAGAGAGAGAGAGAGAGAGAGAAACTTACAGGATGACATACAGGGAGTGGATGACTCTCTTCCATCACTGAACATAGCAGTGTGGGTATGAATCCTATGACCTAATGAATCTAGAGAGAGAGAGAGAGAAACTTACAGGATGACATACAGGGAGTGGATAACACCCTTCCATCACTGAACATAGCAGTGTGGGTATGAATCCTATGATCTTATGAATCTAGAGAGAGAGAGAGAGAGAAACTTACAGGATGACATACAGAGAGTGGATAACACCCTTCCATCACTGAACATAGCAGTGTGGGTATGAATCCTATGATCTTATGAATCTAGAGAGAGAGAGAGAGAAACTTACAGGATGACATACAGAGAGTGGATAACACCCTTCCATCACTGAACATAGCAGTGTGGGTATGAATCCTATGATCTTATGAATCTAGAGAGAGAGAGAGAGACAGGAACTTACAGGATGACATACAGGGAGTGGATAACACCCTTCCATCACTGAACATAGCAGTGTGGGTATGAATCCTATGATCTTATGAATCTAGAGAGAGAGAGAGAGAAACTTACAGGATGACATACAGAGAGTGGATAACACCCTTCCATCACTGAACATAGCAGTGTGGGTATGAATCCTATGATCTTATGAATCTAGAGAGAGAGAGAGAGAGAGAAACTTACAGGATGACATACAGGGAGTGGATGACTCTCTTCCATCACTGAACATAGCAGTGTGGGTATGAATCCTATGATCTTATGAATCTAGAGAGAGAGAGAGAGAAACTTACAGGATGACATACAGAGAGTGGATAACACCCTTCCATCACTGAACATAGCAGTGTGGGTATGAATCCTATGATCTTATGAATCTAGAGAGAGAGAGAGAGAAACTTACAGGATGACATACAGAGAGTGGATAACACCCTTCCATCACTGAACATAGCAGTGTGGGTATGAATCCTATGATCTTATGAATCTAGAGAGAGAGAGAGAGAAACTTACAGGATGACATACAGAGAGTGGATAACACCCTTCCATCACTGAACATAGCAGTGTGGGTATGAATCCTATAATCTTATGAATCTAGAGAGAGAGAGCGAGAAAGGAACTTACAGGATGACATACAGAGAGTGGATAACTCTCTTCCATCACTGAACATAGCAGTGTGGGTATGAATCCTATGATCTTATGAATCTAGAGAGAGAGAGAGAGAGAGAGAGAGACAGGAACTTACAGGATGACATACAGGGAGTGGATAACACCCTTCGATCACTGAACATAGCAGTGTGGGTATGAATCCTATGA